CTCCTGCATCATCACTAACAAAGAGGCTGTGATGCCCGTGAACGCCACACTTGCCTCCTCACAATCTGCTGTATCACCGCATTGTTGACAGCAGCGCTTCCAAGGCTAATCTCGTGTTTTACAGAATCATTCGAAAATACGGAATCCCGAAATAATAATAATACTAATAATAATAAAAAAATATTTATCAGGGAGAAATCGCGAAAAGGTCTGTATAAAGGTCTAATAAACACGGACAGCAACGCGGTATTTTTGGCTTTCTTATTTTACAGAGTGAACAAAGCAAACGTGCACACCCCTTATTTTGAACAACACCAACGCCTGAAAACCAGGATATTATAGCATTTAACACACATTGGCTTCGCATCACAGTCTATTACTTGCACACCAGTGACATAATGTACATAACGAATGTGACAGAGACTGACTAAGCTGCGACGCTGCATCAATTCACATGACAATGCAAGAAGGTGCGTAAAAAAGAAGCTCATTTTAACCCTATTATTATTATTATTATTATTCTTTTTATCATTAATCGGATTATTATTAATATTATTATTATTGTAGTATTTGGTTTCTGTAGTAACGTCTCACGAGGAACAATGACCAGGGAATCGTTTCGGCAACTGCACAGTGAAGAGATTGAGACGAGTCCATTGGCTGTCACAGTAATTACGGCTCGTCCTTACACAGCAAATACAGCGGTGTGTGTGTTTTTTTTCTTCTTCTTCTCTTTTCTCAATGTACAGTAATGAGAAGACGCATTTATAAGCTGTAATACTGCCAGATTGTTTAAAACACAAAGGCAACACGCTTTTATCGGCTATTATCGGTTATTCATTCACAATCCTAAAGAACGTTACACAGTGACTCAGGCGGGCGTTTAATGACGCTACAAGTGACAGCTCCTGTTGTTTTTGTTCAAGCAGGCGGCAGCGGCGTGGCCGCATGACCCTACGCTGCCATCAGCAACGCTTGTACTTAGCAAAAACAGAGAGGGGAAAAGAAGAGAAAAGAAAAGAAGACAAGAAAAGAGAAGGAGAAATCGCGCGCGTACGCGCGCACGCACAAACGCGTTGACTCAAAGCATAACAGGATGTGGTGCAGAGTTGTATTTCACTCCCAAAACCCCGCGTTTACAACGGCATATTACACGCGCTCTCCGGTCGCCGCACCAGGGTGGCAGTTGTTTTCGACACCCGTGCGTACCGCTTTTCTGTTAACCTCGAACTTTGTGACGTATAAGGAGTCGAATTGTTTAAAGTGACTCCGTGTCGTGTGTATTTTGTCACACCGAGCAGCGCGCTGCACACACAAACATACACACGCACGCCTACGCCACTTCTCCACAAGTTTGAAGTGGGAGCATTATCAATGACCAACAATGGACCGTGATTGATAAACACTGTGTATCATGGGAAAACAGCAGCGTGGTGGTGGTGGTGGGGGGTGGGGGGGCGTTTGTAAAAAAACGAACACAGCAGCTCACCTTTTTACTTTCTCTTCTTCCGCTCGTATTCCAGCCCTTTTGTACGTTTTCCCACGTTAACTTCTCTCACATGATGGCTCGCTTTGTCGTTTCCTCAAAGGCTCCCAGCTCCACGTAGCTCACTCACTTTCCTGCTCGCTTAGCGTTGCCTCTTTTCTCGCTGCACAACCAAACTCAGACGCGTTTTCTTTTTCGTTCTCTTTTCGATGCTATGTGGCGTGTGTGTAAGTGTGCACGCGTGTTTGTGAGTCCGTCCGTCCGTTCCGTCCGTGCGTGTTGCTCCAGCGCGGCGTGCCGCTGTGTCTCTCCGCTGTTTGTTACACTCGACTAGAACGCCTACTCTCAGCCGCTACATTGTTGACATTCGGCCGCTGACGTCACTCCATCCCCTCATTCACAACATGGTTAGCGCAGAGCGCGCTCTCCGTTGGTGCCGCCGGGATGCGCGCACGTACTCCTCGGAACGTGCGCAGCCGAGTTTGGAGAATTGCACTACGCTGGGATGTTGTGGCGCAAAGCCCCGCCTCGTCCCATTTTCTTTTTTTTTCTTTTTTTCACCGTGGACCGTAGCCCCCCTTCCGTCATCCCTTTCTCTCCCAGGTGCACACAGCGGGAACATGACGAAAGAAAGGTGACTCAAGGCATCTGAAAAATGCCATTAAATAGAGTTGTAATTTTATATAAAAAATAGATATATATACTTTTTGAAGCTATTTTACATAAAGCTATGCATTTTAATAGTATTTTTGACTATTATTCCCATTTTTGTTAAATTACCGAATACTTTTTATCGTACATATTCAAAACAATAAGGCAAACAACATAGAAAAAATACGCAAATTCTGTCAACAACAAACAGTAAAACAAGCAAACACTACAACTACGGAGAGAATGGTAAAATATTGTTATTTGTGCCACAACATTAGAACGTAATAGTCAGACAGACGAGTAAATAGAGAATGCAATTACAGCAATTAAATCAAAGGAAGTAGCATAAACTCAATCGCGCTAAATACACACATACATAAAAAGAGGAAGTGCAAAAAAAAAAACAAAAAAAAAAACACAAGAGAACAATGAAACCCAAGTGAGAACCACAACAAGTAAAAACAAAACAAGCTCAACAACAACATCAGGAAACAGAGATGCAGAAAAAAATAGAACTAAACTAAAAGCTAATATTAACTAGCAAAACTGTCAACAGTCAAAATGTTTTTAGCTGAAATAAGGGAGACAAAGACTCAAAATTATTAGATATAAATAAGGTTCTCTGTATGTTCAGATAGCGAGCGATGGTCAACTTCCAAAGCACCATAGTTATTTTTTTGGCTAACTTGATAGTGTTGTTTTTTGCTAATTTCATAGATTTATTTTTTCTAAATTCATATGTGTATATATATATATATGATTGTTAAAACTGCAGAAAGAACACAGACAGGTGGTAGGTGAAATGTTTCTAGACATGTTTTTTTTTTTTATCTTCAACACAAGCCATCTCAGGGGAGGCAGAAAGAGTTTCACAGTAAGGCGTTCACATCCTGTTTGGACAGAAGTACTCTCAGTGGGAATGTTTAAATTTCTAATGTAAAGACTGCCCCTAGGGGAACTTCTAAGTAATTATGCATTATCACTGAACATCAGACATTCCCATCCTCACAGCAGCGTTCACTTCCAACAGATTTTATTATATATGTTTAAAGTAGGATTTGTATTTAGTTAACATACACTCACCGTATAGTGAGTACATATATGGGAAGTATTTGTTTTAAAATTCAAATTGCAATTCAAATACAGAATTACATTTAATTTTCAATAAATCAATAAATAAATTCAAAAAATAACTTATAATTATAATTACACATTATTATTGTTATTATTTTGTTTTAATACAAAATGTAATATGTGGACATTAACATATTGTAAATGTTTAACTTATAATTGTAATTACACATTATTATTGTTATTACTTTGTTTTAATACAAAATGTAACATGTGGACATTAACATATTGTAAATGTTCAAGCATAGAAAGCTTTTTGAGTTTGTTCGAATTGAGCCATGAAAATACACAACATGACAAGCTAAATTTCCCAAAGGGAACTCCCAAGGGATTCATAAAGTTCTCACTCTCTCTCTCTCTCTCTATCTATTTAGCTAGCTAGGTAGCTAAATAGACTATTTTTATTTCGTAAATGGAGCTCTCTGACGAAAAAAGTTTGGACACCCCTGGACTAGACTACTCGCATAAACATCTAACAGTTACGAAAAACTGTTTGTTTTGTGACTCGTTTACCATAAGGTGTCAACTTAGCCTTAGATCTCTGCAGACATTTACCGGTACGTTTATTTCTGGAGAATCAACACTAATGTGATTGGCTAAAGTTTAAATATGTGTTTAGTTTTGTACGAATTCACTAGCACAAAAACATTTTCCTGGTGTATCTCGTAGGTCACTTTTAGCCTCGTATTGACATCAGTGTCATCCCCACGATCATGTGTAACTGAAGATACATGTGAGCTCAAGTTCCGAAACCTAAATGACATCACTTATTTTTACACCTCTACAGGCAAGCGTATCATATTCATAATGCTTTAACCACTTGTGTTCCCTTAGGCTTTTGAAAAAGGGAGGGTGGTGGTAAAAAAAAAAAACCCTCCTTTTAATGAATGTGGTAAAGTGTTAGAACAAATGGAACGTTGTCAGGGTGAGCAGAAAATCACAATCTTCTACTCATTGTGTCAACGTTCTCTGCACAAACACTTTTTCAAAGTAAGTGTGAAAGTACGTCACAGTGGGTCCGAGCTTGATTTGACCTGGTTTTGATCAGTGTTCTGCAGCTACGTGGACGTGATAAATTCAAAGGGGAATTCCACGTTAATTTATGTTGAAGGATTTTTTTAATTTAAGATTATTAAGATTTAAATTAAAGATACACCATGTTAGGGTGTCACTTTTCTATATTTACAGTATGTCATTTGGATTTTCTTTTTTACTATTATGAATTTATTCTATACTACCTGCCCAGGGTTTCTTTCCTAAAGCGCTCAAAGTAATAAAATATATTTATATTTATTAGGGATGTCCGATATGAACTTTTCGCCGATATCCGATATGCTGATATTGTTCAAACACTTAATTTCCGATTCCCATTTCAACCAATACCGATATAGCGGGGCAGTGGTGGCCCAGTCGTTAAGGGAAGTTAACTGCTGCCTGTTCATTAGGTGATAGGTTAAAGTAATGTTTCTCCATTAGTTTCTGCCATGCCCCCCCTAGGGGACAGACATTTTTTCACCCTGCCCCCCAACTCCCACCCCCTGAATTGAAATACTATTAAGGGCCTTGGCCCCCAAACCCCACCCCCTGAATTGAAATATTATTGAGGGCCTGGTAATATTGTTTGTATTTATGTACAAAACACTGTATGTTGCTGTCATCAGCATTCTGCATACAATCCCCTGATTATTACAATAGATTACTAAAATGAGCTGCAATGCTGCCATCTAGTGGCTTTCACTTTCACATGCAGCCGTTTTTCTCTAAAAAAAATAGTTTTAGGGTACATATCATGTGGCAAAACCCAGGCATTGCGTTATCGGGTTTTCATTATCGGAGGAAAAAAACAATAACGATTCTTGCCAGTGTGACATAATTCCACTAGTATCGGGCCGATAATATCGGTCGGCGTGGTGAGGTGCCGGGTGGGCGTGAGGGGTTTCCAATGGAATATGGCACGCAGGACGTAAGTGTACCACTGCGTTAATGCTTGAATGATAACTAGCCTCCAGTCACTAGGGGGCAGCAACTCATACAGTGGTTTGTACAGATAAAAATATACATGTTATCAGGTCCTCAATAGTGTTTTAATTTACAGGGGTATGGGTTGGAGGTCGGAGAGCGGGGGCGTGACCTGAAAACATATCTGTCCCCAAGGGGGGGCAAGACAGAAAATAATTGAGAACCACTGGGTTAGGGACAAGGTGCTGCAGCCCACACTTGCTCATGCTCCCAAAGCACCAAGTGCATGTGGAGAATTTAATTACAGAGTATGGACTCCCTCCCAAT